GAAGATGTCTCGTTTGGACCTTAACTAGCATACCAGGTATAGTCATTAAAGGTGTCTTGCACTTTAAAAAATAGCAATGCTTTTCGCAAAATAGCGTCTTAAAATGGCATGCATTGCTGACTTTTTGGTTGCCGACACTATGAGGAGGTATACTCACAAGCTCCTGTGCAGAAATGAGCCAGTGTCATGATTGAATATTCAAATGATTGTATAAAAAAGGATATAACGCAAATCACACAATGCGTATGCTCGTTCAAAGCACGACAGCAGCGAATAAGCGAGGCCAGTGCGCAGTACCTCACCGTGCTATATAGTTTGCGGTTGTTATTTCTACCACCGACCATGAGGAAAGCATGAACACTGACCGTGAGCACGCCGGGAGAGTTACAGCCTGCGGCCTCTCTACTCGTAGCAATTGCCTCAACTGTTCTCAATGAAGGACAACGACTCACCAAGCGTCTGCAAAATGCTAGGGGAGACAAACAGTCTGGACGAGAGATCCATCGCAGACGAATTCATGGCAAGGCGTCATGGATGAAATTCAAGCTATCGCATGGTGAGCAGAATATGCAATATAAAAGATGCATAGACATTAGGCAAGGGTCGAATTGCAGTGATCTAGTTAGAAAAGGTTGAGTGAAATGATTACCTCGAGAGCAAATTAAGTAACAAATAACCAGCAATTATAATGGTAAAATACGGAGAAAATAACAACTGAGAATGACAATCAAATAACAGTCAACAGCTATGTTTGGTCCCAGCGAGCAATTAAAAGGGTGCCAGGAAAATATCACATCAAATGCTTAACACATTCTCCAAATTCAGCCGGACGTTGACGTTCATTCCATTATACCAGCAAGCTAAGCACAGCTTCAAGATGAAGTCGATCTCTCCGAATTCGTCTCGCCAGAACCACTGACATAAAACATTCGAAGCCGGAAGCTGAACTTCAGGAAGGAGACCCGACAGCCACAGCTTCCGTCCTGTTCTCACCAAAGACCCGGGGGTAGCGCAGACCGGTGCAGGCCAGGCCGGCGCGACGGACTGGACGGGCAGACATACGGAGACGGCCTGAGTGAGGGAAGGACGGAAGGGAAGACAGACGGCCGGACGTGCAGACAGACGGACAGACGGCCGGACTGAGACAAACGGCCGGGTGTGCAGACAGACGGACTGATAGACAGACGGGCTGACTATGAGACACCCGCAGGACGTGCAGATATACGGGCAGACGGACGGACTGAGATGAATGAGCGGACAGACGGGCGGACTGAGATGAAGGAACGAAGGCATAGCGGCTGCCGCCGGCCAGCCAAACAGAGGGTAGGTAATCGCAGTGTCACGTATCACCGGCCAGCCACAGGCATACAGAGCCTGCGCTGCAAAATTGATAGGCGTTTTTTAGATGCACACGAAAATAGTGCATTGTGTCTTCTCATAGTTACGGTTATAATTATCATGTGCATGGTACCTTCATTCTCTAAATTAACGCCTGCAAGAAAAACGGAAACGTGAGTAGGTACTGTGGACTGTGCTAGTGTGTAATGTGGCAAGAAGAAGTTTCATAATGATGAAGATGTATGCCATCCCAATATACAAAACATCAAAGGACGGATATTGTGCTATGGGTAAGTTTTGAATATTAATTAACCCTCGCATGTGTGCGGCGTTTGCCAGCTTCTAATGTGTAGGGGGGGGGGGGGTCGGTTGGACCCCCCCCCTTGCCGTTTGGCCCCTGATCGAGCTAGAGCTTCGCGGAAAAAAACGAGCGTGTTGCCCGTGACGAGAGGAAGCCGATGATACCCAATTTTAAGGTCCTAGGTCATTGGTTGACCTTCCAGGTCAGGTCAATGACCCAAAGTCGGGAAAATCGGGACCTGTTAGAAAGTCGTAAAGTGTGGCTGCTAAGGGGTTTTTCGGGGTGCTGATCACGAATATCGTGTAAGTTTTGATCACAGATGATGTCTTGAAGCATTTAGACCAGGTCGGGTCAGGTCAGGTCAGGTCAGGTCAACCAGTAGGCGTCGTGACGGGTATTCGTAGTACGTGTCAACCGCCTCTGACAGCTTCGTAACATGTTACGAAGTCACCAAAACTACTTCGTAAATGTTCAAATGGTTGCTAAATTCGAATTCAGCTCCAAAAAACTAGCCTAGAAACATGTAAAACACGAAAAAGTGACCCGAGGTCACCCGAGGTCACCAAAGGTCAATGACCTGACCTGACCTTCAGGTGACCTTGACACACACGGGAGTTACATCAAATCACATGTTTGAACGTTTGAAACCACGAAAAGCTTGCAAACACGCGGCTAGTGCGAGCCGACATACGCGAAATCGCGATTCCGGCCAAACATGGTTTCGGAAAAGAGGTCACAGGTCAAAGGTCATTTGGGTCAGGGTCATGAAATTTTCAGGGTAGGTGTCAAATTGATCAATGCGAGGGTACTGAAAGTTTCGTCGCGATCGGCCGCTTTTTACGCGAGTTATTCGCGAAAAACCATGGGGGGGGGTCCATCCGACCCCCCCTACACATGCGAGGGTTAAATCGAAAGCATCCATAACCCCACCTGATACCCCTGAGGTTATCTCAGATTAGCAAAGTTCATCAGCAGCTTTTCGAGAAATAACTTTTGATAGACATGCTAGATCGATGGAAGCATATTGGATGCGTTCAGTTCAACGGTGGGATTAGCTGAAATGCAACAGTACCGTTTTCGGTCAGGCTGTGCCGCTGTGACCCTGACCTAGGGTTATTTTTTCGAGTTGAATTTTTTAAGACAAATTACATGACGTTCTTATTCAAATTTTAGCAATTGAAGCAGACGTCTCGACAAAGAAAATACCTACTTTTTCACATTTTTCACTTTTTCACTTTTTCGAGTTTTACATGTTTATAGGCTAGTTTTTGGAGCTGATTTCGAATTTAGCAATCATTTGAACATACACGGCATAATACCAAATTTATATGAGTGATCCAGACCATCCTGATGCCTGATTCTATTACGTCTTGCCACCAAGGAGTCACTAGTGCAGGATCACTGCAGGCAAGACCACTATGAGAAGAGATACTGTGGGCGTCCTAAACACCATGGAGTAAAATGTGAAATGGAATTGAAAGGAAAGCCCCATATGTAGACTTTTTAAGACTGCATTGCCCCTTAAAGACTTTGTTAAGGGAATGTTCATAGTCAGGGGCGGAGAATTGTCATAATCCCTGGGGGTGCTTTTCCAGCACCTGGCGAATGGAAGCATCCAATTCTTGCGTAGAAAAGCACATATAGGTACACCTTTCGAACAGCATTACTCTCCTCGCTATTTACGCAAAGCAGTTTGTGTCTCATACGTAATTTAACCCTCGCCGGCACAGGGGGGGGGGGGGGTGATGCAACATGCAAACCCCTAATATTTTTTTTTCGCAAATTACTCGCGTAAATAGCGGCCGATCGCAACGAAACTTTCAGCACCCTCGCATTGATCAATTTTACACCTACCCTTAAAATTTCATGACCCTGACCCAAATGAACTTTGACCTGTGACTTCTTTTCCGAGACCATGTTTGGCCGGAATCGCGATTCGGCGTATGTCGGCTCGCATTAGCCGCGCGTTTGCAAGCTTTTCGTGGTTTCAAACGTTCAAACATGTAATTTGATGTTGCTCCCATGCATTAGGGTGGGTGTCAAGGTCACCTGAAGGTCAGGTCAGGTCATTGACCTTTGGTGACCTCGGTTCACTTTTTCGAGTTTTACATGTTTCTAGGTTAGTTTTTGGACCTGAATTCGAAATTAGCAGCTATTTGAACATTTACGAAGTAGTTTTAGTGCCTTCGTAACATGTTACGAAGCTGTCAGAGGCGGATGACAGGTACTACGAATACCCGTCATGACCCCTACCGGTTGACCTGACCTGACCTGACCCGACCTGTTCTAAACGCTTAACGTCATGATCTCAGATCTGTGATCAAAACTAACACGATATTCGTGATCAGCACCCCAGAAAACCCATTAGCAGCCACACTTTACGACTTTCTAACAGGTTCCGATATTTCCGATTTTTGGGTCATTGACCTGACCTGGAAGGTCAACCGATGACCTAGGACCTTAAAATTGGGTATCATTATTGGCTTCCTCTCGTGACGGGCAGCACGCTCGTTTTTTTTTCCGCGAAGCTCTAGCAGTGAGCAGGAGCTCCAAAATATTGTTCATTTCCAAACACACTCCCTGAATGAATACATATCTAGTAACCATTATGTTTTCATGTCTCCTTCTAAGTGAGGAAAGCAAAACTTCACCAATTCATGAATATTGGGTACTGCAATTGAGGCAAATGTCCCAAAATAAAAGCTTCCTGAAACCCGCCAGCAATCATAAAAGCAACTCAGTCGGGGAAACTATGGTAAAATCTGCTATTTTCAGCAGTCTGCTATTTTTAGCAGAAATCTGCCAAAATGGGTACGCATGTGACATCATCGTACCCAAATATAGCAGATTTGGGTACGGCCCCATACAAAAGCAGATCTGCACCCTAATTGAAGCAAATGCGCATCAAATGCCTGGCAGATTCATGATTAGAATAGTGCTGAGAATCTCCTCTGATATTTTTGTTCAGATCCGACTATTTTCAAATAATGAATTTGAAAATAGTCGGATCTGAACAAAAATAGCAGAGATCACTCTCAGCACTATTCTCATCATGAATCTGCCAGGCATTTGATGCACATTTGCTTCAATTAGGGTGTAGATCTGCTTTTGTATGGGGCCGTACCCAAATCTGCTATATTTGGGTACGATGACGTCACATGCGTACCCATTTTTGGCAGATTTCTGCTAAAAATAGCAGACTGCTAAAAATAACAGATTTTACCATAGTTTCCCCGACTGAACTGTTTCCATACCATAACAAGCAGACAATAAAATCACATTGGGCTAGAACAATCATACATGCATGGAAATTCAATTTTCATATTTTGATAGGTACTTATCTAAGTAGGTAGGTACTCACATCTCGTTGAGCTTCGCAATATTTTCCTAGATGGAAGGACCCAGCTTTCAGGGCAGGGTAGCCGATGTTCAACTCTTCAACTGTGAGCTCCTGCTCGGAGGGGAGATAGGTATCCAAAGTAACAGGCATGTTTATTCTTCACCCCAACAGAAAATCAAATCACAGATAAATCTCTGAGCAAAATGATTTTTTTGGGCCTCTGTGCAAAGGCAAAAGACTGCCTGGAAAAAACTTTCGCCCCTTCTCCGCTTATTTTGCCGCAGAATTTGTGTTCAGTATGCGTAAAGAAGAACAGTTTTCTGCTCAACGAAGAATATTGACGAATCAACACGTGAAGTTATTCAACGAGCACGAGTTGTCTGATGTTTTGAATAATCCTTTTATCAAGAGGTATAAAAATGAAAAACAGGAGAGAAAAGCAACATAACTTTTAGATTTTAGACCAATACAGAAAGTCGAGCTCCAACCTTGAATCGAGCACGACACCACACAACAGTTTGCTTTTATTAGTGATCGCTCAATAGCTGCACAAGTGGTCTTCGACCTCATCCATATCATACAACGCTGGCACTTGGCACCTCATTTCATTTCAAAGCTTCACAGATAAAAAAAAAACAATAAGACCTATATGAAAGACAAGCTTCAAATAATGTTGGTGAAAAAAGTGTACGGGTCAATAGTGTTCAGCAAGACAAGAACATTTTCTAATGCGTTGGGGACTGACAGAACTGCAGTTTGGGCGCTAACAGGAAACTGAAGACCAGTGCTATGCATAAATGATAAAGCAAGATACCTTTTGAAAGGTAACAGAGGTAACCATTTTTTATTGATCACCAGAAAGAATGCTCCAAAGTCACGTATACGCCTGATGATGTGGTAAATATATCTATTATATACCTTATATACCTACCTACGCCCTATGAGCCCTAACATGATCCGTCTAGAAGCTCGACTGGACCGGTAGTTTACAGGCCTTTGGCCTCTCTAAATTCCGTTCAACTTAAGTAAGTAAGTAAGTATTATTTTTCAAAGAGAATGTAAAATATCAGAAGCATCACAACATTTTTTAAATTAGTAGTTGCAACTAATGACGCGTCATATCAGGTATGTCACTGCTGCGTCATAACTGACTACACAGTCATACACAAACATCGCGGCGCCGCGACGCTGCTCGTGCTGCTGGCTGCTGTGCAAAAAAAAACTAAATTGAATTTTGTTAAAAGCATATTAAATCAACAGCGTTATAACATTCGCAAGATGCGCCTCGGGATGCCGGTAATTATCATCAAAATATAGAGCTCAAGCTAGGGTGAGGTCTGGGCGTTTGGCTCAGGCTGCGGTCGGTGTGAGTCTGTGCGATGCTGACAATCACAATGAGTTGAAACAAATTAAGTCTACCGTCAAAACCAAAATATAAAATGCAAAACTGCCTGCATAGCTTCAACACATTTGTATATGAATGCCAATTTCATCATTTTTTCTTTTTTTTTTCAAATGGTGCGGATGCCTGAATAGGACTGATAGTGATAGGGGATGCAATGCATCTCAAGCAGTTTCATAATAAAACAAGTTTTCTTTTTTTCTTTTTCAGGATCCATCATTGTACTGTGTGAAGGGCATGGTCATCCTGGACAATGATGGCAACAGAATTCTCACCAAGTACTATGACAAGGAGACCTTCCCTACTGCAAAGGAGCAAAAGGCTTTTGAAAAGAACCTCTTCAGCAAGACGCATAGGGCGAGCGCCGAAATTATCATGCTGGATGGCCTGACCTGCATCTACAAGAGCAATGTGGACCTCTTCTTTTATGTCATGGGTAGCTCACAGGAAAATGAGGTGAGTTGTCTATAAGAATATGATTAACAATTGACTAGGCCTGTTTTTTGAAGTTACATGCATTTGATACTATTTTTACTGCTTGATTATAACTTTGCGTATTTTTTCATTTTTGGGAAATTTGCTTGACACATTTGGAATCATTAATAAACAATGAAGAGGTAAGAGCCTAAACTAATAAGCAAGAAGAACAGTCTTGCCAGAAGGTCCTCACCTCCACCATCTGATTAATGATCCTAGCTTGTCAGAATAATTTAGGTGTGAAAGTTTTGCCTGAATTCAGTGACAACCCTGGAGGACACAGTCCATTCAATTTACTGATCCAAAATAGTTGTGGCACGGTTCCATGAACTGTGGACCACCCTGCCATGAGACTCCTGTGTGGCGTGCCTGAGGGATTCCACCTTATGTCATGAGGTTGTGTCCCTGGTCTCCCATTTTTAGGAATCTTAGGCTGCAAAAACTAGGTTCCTACCTATCTATGAGACGAATGTTGCACCCTGCCCATTGTCCCTTAAAACAATGCTTCTTGTGTCTGCAGCTCATTTTGATGACAGTGCTGAACTGTCTCTATGAGTCAGTCAGCATGATTTTGAGGAAGAACGTTGAGAAGCGGGCACTTCTGGACAACATTGACGTTGTCATGCTGGCCATGGATGAGATTTGTGACAACGGGTAAGGACCTGAAAGTCTCTGAATACAGTTGTAAGATCGTCTACCCATTTAGGCCATTGTAGTTCAACTTTTTGATAGAGCTTTAGCGGACCTTTGATGGTGATTAGTAAGCTCTATAACTCTGCCTTACTTCCCTTAGTAAGCTCTATTACTCTGCCGTACATCCCGTGACTGGTTTGTGACCGTGCTATTCACACGGTGATTACGATAAGCCTATGACGTGTGGCCCTACCTGGTACTGTAACCATTGACCTCTGAGCGTGCCCCACTTCTGTGCCGCTAGTATCATCATGGAGGCCGACTCGGGCGCGGTACTACAGCGGGTGGCGGTCCGTACAGACGATATCCCACTCGGGGAACAGACGGTGGCCCAGGTAAGCCCTGTGTGCGCCATTCGTGGCTCAGTCTCTGTCACTGCCTTCTCTGTCTGTCCCAGCTCGTTCGGCCCGGTAATCCGTATAGACATAGTAATCAGCTGTGGGATAGGCGGAGCATCTGTCTCAATGTAGCACGTCTAGTACGGTAGTAGCTAACCTGTGGTGTCGGGATATGACTAGCTAGATCAATGTTTGTACTTTGTGTCCATGTCTGGTGCTGGGATGGAAACGGGCATGTTTATGTCGATCGTGCAAACAGAGCCAGAATGCCAATGCATCGTAGTTAATTGGTGATAAAATCAATGTGTGCTCTCTTCAATCATGGAACTGCAGAACATAATTCTAGTTACCTCTGATCGTCATATTGTGGCTAAATATGCTATTATAACTATCGCGTGGTTCACATATTTGATATTATTTTTTTGGCTACTAAGGGAAGTTTTTCTATCAAGTTTGTGTAGACTTCCTTTCTTCGTCTACTGTAAGACTTTGTTTCAACTTTCAATAATGTTCGATGCGGTTTTTTTCTCTCAAATTTGAACACGATGCTGATATTAGTGGAATCACTTAAATTCTGAATCTTACGTTTTTTTTCCTTTCTATCCGGGTGGGTCTTACGTCTTCGACTACATTGACTTGGTGATCGTGTGATCCTGTGAATCACAACGTCTATCATCGGCTTGATGGGGGACGTCTGTGTTTCCGTGCTCGTGGCTCTGGGGCATGCGTAGAAAGTAGTCCTGTAAGCTGAGCTCCTCTATGTCGTGATCGGGAACTGTTGGTGCCGAGGGCTGACCTCCTCCTGTGGCTGACCTCTGACTATGTCTACGTGTCGCAGGTGAAGGCTAGGGTCTCTGGTCTGACAGGAAGTGTAAGTGTTGGGTTCTCTCTGTCCTCGACTGGCCTGGGCGACTGACTGTGGGTGGTGGTAGGCGGAAACGGTGCACTGCTAGGGCCACGCTGCAGGTTCCCTAACGCCAGACTGTTCCCTGGACTATGGGTGATTGAGTCGCCCCTTTGGAAATTATGGGGTCGCTTTAATATCCTTGAGCTGTCCCATCAGCTATGTATCCTTGGCTGGTCGGCGGTGGTCTGTTCACTGTAATGGCGCCATCTACTTTCACTGACACTGGACTACTGAGTGAGCACTTTGGGTTGTCCGGTCCTGTAATGTGATCTGGGGACATTTCACGGCTGTGGACGCGCCCGTTTGGCCGGCTAAGGCTTACGTATAGTCGACACTGCATGCTAGCGGTCTGTGCCATACCAGTATGGTGCTCAGTTGGGAAACGGGAGGCTATGACAACTTCTTCTCATTCTGTTGAATCAGAGGCTCCGTTATATCCCTGTCGGTCTCAAAGAACGAGCACTGGGTAACGATAACCCTGTATCAACGTATTACTGATTAAACGTCGGACGCTAGCAAGGTCCCTAACACCGCAGCCTGATGAGAGTTAATCCGCCGGGGGAGGGTCGTACCTGGGGGCCCGAGAAATCCTGTGGACAGTGTGAAGTTGTGCTGTGCCTGCTGTGTGATTGTGCTCAGGTGGTGTGGCAAAGCGTGTCGTTGGTGCTGGTGGTAGTGGTGGTGGTGGAAATGGGTTAGTGCATGGAGCATGTGGCAGCTTGTCTGCTTCGTTCGTCGTTGATTGCGGTTTCCACTGAGCATATAGTGCGATATTTCAGCGTATGTGGTTGAGTAAAAATTGAGCGAGGCTCCAATCACACGAAAGACCTAAGACAAGTTAAGTTAACTTATGTTTAATCGTTCGGCTTATGTATGGAGGAATGAAATGCATGCTCACTCAGAACCAATTTTCTTGCACTGTGAGCTACGGTGCATTTTCTCTTTTCGTCTTTTCTTGCGAAGAAACAGTAGTAGGTTTAGAGAGGAGTAACTAGATAATGACCAAGTGTCGCAAAAGAACTGCATGGCACGTAGATGCATGCTTCCACAGTGTCCGTAGAAAATTGCGGAGAAAAATAGAAGTTATGCATCATATCCGATGAAAAACACGAATAACTTATATTGTAACGGCCTAACCTTAATCCGATTCAGAGTCTGCTGTATGCTTCTCGGAAAATAGGTCGCCATTCCACATCGCTCGACCGACTTGCCCAATGCAAGCGTTTTATGCTTCTTCTTCTTTTTTTTGCGCCGGGCTATTAAAATAGAAAATTGTTGCTGCTTTTTTAGGCAGATCTAATCAGCTGCCAATTTTTACGTTATTGCGTCGTGTATCGCCGGTTGTCAATGGCTGGTGGTAACGGCTCGTCTGTTCTGCAGGTGCTTCAGTCGGCCAGAGAGCAGCTGAAATGGAGTCTGCTGAAGTAACACCGCCCGCTGCACCTTCTGATCACCGACTCCGCTCTTGCGGAATACACAGAGAGACGGAGTGGGACCACCGTCGGGAGAGACCGTGACAGGCGAGGGGCAGGGCTAAGTGTCAGATGGGTTGGAGTGGCTACCGCACCGTGTTTTGTACTTTGTAGATTGGTTTGAAGGGATGGATAGGAAAGGCGACTGCGTCACGGGCGTATGACGATTGGATGAAGTTGGATTGGAGAGAGCGGCCCCTGCTCCCAAAGACGCGTCGGGTGTTGCCGCTGGATGAAAAAAGGGGACGGCGTTGGGGAGAGTCGGTGTTGCATTCCGTCGAGTGTCTTGGTGTAGTTGCCGCGACACTGGATCTGTTTGTTTTGTGCCGGTTATATTTAAAATGAAAAGAACACGGACGATAGACGTGTCTACATGTGGCGGAAATGCTGCTAAGTAGTTGATGGTTTGATACAATTATCAATAAACAAGCTATGTTGACCATGCTAGTTTCCTAAAATTCCTTCCCATTTCGATGGTTCATTTTGAAGATTGTCAAGTCTAAGTAGGGTGTGGATTTTGTACTGCTTGACCACCGCAAAGATCGGGCATCTTCTTTTCGGAAAATATGTCTGGTATCGTAGCACGCTCGAAGATATCAAGAAGAAAGCGACGAAAACGGCAATGGCAGAATGCCACATGTTTGTGACCGAATTACTCAAAAGTGGCGCGGGCTTTCATGGCTAAGGGAAAATAAGAAAGATCACATTATATATTCTGCTGCCAATAGCTAGTAAGCGCTCTATTTAGCATCATGAACTGCTACTCTGTAGCACCAAACAACAGCGACCCGTAGCAAAGTCATGTGCCTGAACTGTGCCTGGTAGCCATCACGATGGAACTGAAGTCGAGCCGGAGTCGCGTCGGCTCTGTGGCTGCTGGGGGCTATGACGAACTTCTGACGGTGAGTAGAAAATGCCGAATATCCTCGGTCTTTAATTTTCACGGTTTATTTGTTGTGGCAACCAGGTATTTAAGGGCCCAAGCAGCTGTAGGTTTTTATCGATCTAACTTCTTAATGGCTTGTCACTTCCTCGTGTATGTATCTTGTCCTAACAATGAAGATGTCATAATATCTCATTTGAGGTCAAACAGCGCCTGCCCGAAAAACTACATCGTTACACATTTCTCCGAAGATCGCATTACTTCGTCATCACTTCGCTGTGAGCCCTCGTGCGTGTGGTGCACTTTTCCGCATATTCTTACAACAGAGAGCCTTGAGCCGCGTCCTTCCGACTGATCTCGGCGCCCTGAGCCGCGACCCTTCAGCTCACCTCTGCCCGGTTTCAGCCGCTGATCTGTGACGCCCAATCGGAGCCGATCAGGGGCGCAGCGTCGGAAGAGGACGCCAGGGGATTGGACGGCAGAAACAGCCGGTGAGCTCAACTTCTGACAGCGTGCGTGAGACGAATTAGTGTATATCGGGACTAATTACATGGAGCTTATGTAAAGATGCTTATCTGTTGACGCAATGCACCTTATATAACTCTTGATGTTTTTGTGAAATTGCGTGATATGTTGCATATAGCTTACTTGCAGCTTCTGTAGGAAGTGTTTTTATCACATGACGTAAGATAAGCTAAGTGCGATACATAAATTCACCGAAATCGTACGGTAGTTAGCATAACGCACCAACGCTCAATTTTCCATGAAAATCAATTAAATGACCTCAGAGAAGTATTGGCATCCTTGGCGAGTGAGAATCTGTATCTCCGTTATAATTACCTACTCGGCCGTACGATGATATTTTTTACTTGTGGAAAATTTTATCCTTTTCGGGCATTCGACCCCTTTAGGACAGAAGCTAGCGATAAGAACTTGTGATTTTTTCATGGATGCTTCGAAGAGATGGAGATCTTTCATGAAAAAGACCCTTTACAAAGGGGAGGGGTGGAATATTCGTGAGTATGATTCCTTAAAGTAAAGTGATGAACGTTTTTGTTTTTGTTTTGTTGGGTTAGGCCCTTTCGGTCTGACGAGACCATTTCAGAGCCGGAAGGATGATAGGAATTAGGGGGAGACATTGGTCTGGGCAGGCACCCTAGTGAGTCACCGGGGCTGAACCCGTCCAGAGGACAGGCCACCCAGCCCCAAGGTACTCACTGCACCCGGCTACGGGGTGCGCTCCCTCAGGAGCAGCGGTGCCGCTCCAAGGGAGTAGCCCGCATGAGATAAAGTTGCCTGTCCAGCCCGGAGGGGGTTGCGGCGTGGAGGAGAAGGATTTCAGTATCCTGAGGATAGAAGCACGGAACGGGTGATGAACGTTATAAATCCGTCTAAATGCATCAAATTGCCTTCTGTCTGTGTGGGTCTTAAAGGTTGCTCCAGCTGTACGGAATTGACTGAGCATAATTCGCAAGTGCCAAAAGAGCCGTGATTCCAATAACAAATCTTACCTGCCATTTCGCTACCTTGACTTTTCTATCGTTTTCCTTTAGGAGTGGAGGAGCCTTGGTTGACAAGCGGAGCAGGCGCAGTTCTCGGAGTGGTCGCCAGGTGTCAGTGCGCTCGAGGCCGGACAGGCCGGCCTATGTCAGCCTCATAGGCCGGACAGTCGGTCAGCAGGTGGGCTGCGCTGTCCGGCTCGCCGCACGCAGGGCAGGCCGCGTCCACCGCCAGGCCTAGGCGGTGAGCGACGTCCCGATGCGCCCAGATTCAAATGCCCAGATCCAGGGCGCCCAGATTCAAACGCCCAGATCCAGGGCGCAATTCAAATGATATGCATGATGACCTCGAGGTCACGTCACACGTGACCTGAGGGCAACCTTTGACCTTGACCTTTCGAGGTCAACATATATATGAATCGATGCGGATTGACGAGAGGATCACGATGGCGCCATTAGTTTGTTCCTAGCTTGGCTACTTCGAAAGTTATTCGAGAAAAACTCTTCATATGTAGCGCCGCCATTTTAACGTTTTTGACCCCTGTGACGTCATCTTTGACCTGACCTGAAAATGACCTCAGTAAAAATTGTAGAACTTGTCCGTGCGTACCACATGCCGTTTACCGCTCGTCGCTATCTTGCTTCGTTCTCGAGATTCCAGGGGGTGAGGGTCATCCGCCCCCCCCCCGTCGGTTCTAAGTTGGCGCGGACCCCAGTCGGTGCGCGGGTTAAGATGTAGTGTATTAAGTAAAACGACGATTGTTTTTCTTATTTTCCTAAAGCACATGTTCCACTCAGTGTATTATACTCTTCACATTGAACTCACAAAGCAATGCACCACATCCATCATGTGATTCACGAGGTACAGTAGTCTACAAGATAAGTCCCCGCCACCAGTGGGCAGGTAGCGTATAAGCGCTGCTCGGGCGCCACCTGCCCGCTTACGCTTACTTCCATCACCCGCACAATATGTCTACACATGGTTCAGTCACTGAACGAGTGTCAAATCATCTAGGTAAATGTGTATCAAACACACACACAAAAAAAAACGAATGCATCAATAATCATAGTCTATAGTTGATAAAGGGAAAACAAGTAAAAACTCATAATGAATCGCGGAAAATACAAGTCGCCAGCAAGCATTTACAATCGCTAAATAAGAACACATCATGTTCTCCTGACATTTCTACTCGCATAATATCAACAAAAGTCAGCAATAATCATGTTCAGAATCCCAAATCCTGTATGTTCCGTAAGATGAGAAAACAAATTTGTCATGCCGCATTTAACCTCATCTATAGGTACCTAGCATCTCTAAAAGCAATGCCTTGCCTATATGTCAAAAGTAAGCCATCTCCCCTCGCCTCTATGTAGATCTACCACCAGTAACATAACACCACCTCTCCCGTCCACACCCCAGAGTGGCATAACACCACCTCTCCCGTCCACACCTCAGAGTGGCCTGCCCAGCCAAAAGAGCAGCAGCCCCCAGGGGTCCGGCAGGCGGCGTCTGCGCCTCTCATCCTCTCTGGCCGTCTCCGGGTCGTCACAGAACCGCCGCACCTCCACACCAAAACGGCAGGCCGTCCGCAGCGCCGTCTGGTAGTCCATGCCGACCTTGGTTTGAAAGTCAATCGCTTTATCCTTCCAACATGAGGCTTCATTCAGACATGTTTTCATGATATCTTCAAATGTCTTGAACTGATAATGTGTGAGTCATTCCATCGCGCGCTCACTGTTAACTGCATGTCCTGACCACTTGTCCAGTACACTTCCCCTGAGAGCCTGGCTCAGCAGTGGAATGTTGAACAGCAGGTCACAGAGGTCACCCAGCGACCTCAGGTCCGCGGGCAGACCGGCCGGCCGCTCAGCTTCCGGCAGCTGTTGCTGACGCCTCAGCCAGGCTCGCACCGCGTCAGGATCCCCCAGAAGGCATCGCATGTCACATCCATTGAGTAGCTCTATCAGAGGAGCCGCGTCCCAGGCGAAACCATGGCCAAAGGGGGTGAAGTGGATCTGCAATGTCACGTCCTCTGGAGCAACAGTCATCGCCTTGAACAGGTACTTGTGCAGTATGTACTGGTGACTGAATGTTCTCAACAGTCTAGATACAGTAGATGCAGTAAACTGTTTGGAATGTACCAGGACGGACAGCAGTCTTTCTCCCTCAGGTGAAGTGTCCATCGCCAGATAAAACTCAAGATTTCCTATTACGCCAAATAGGATGTTCCATCGAGCCAGACAGACACGCACCTGGCGCTCCGTTAGTTGCGTGGTCGTCTGTGTCAGCATCTTCTGAAGTCCAGGCTGATACACACACAACTCACGTGCCAGAAGGATGCTCAGATTTTGTCTGATGTCTAGCAGAGCCTTCTTCATGAGCTCCCGGTCACCCTGACTGGTAAACCGGAGTAGGTTCAGCTGGCTCCAGAAGTAGCACGGAAGGTTTCCCGTGTCGATAGCCTCTTCCAGGAAGTCCAGCAGTTTGATGACACTCTGAGAGACAACCGTCCAGTCATCCTTTGGTGTTTGCTCGCATAGCCACAGCATCGCTGTCTTTGCATAGTAGGACTTCACCATCTTGCCGTTTGGTACGAGAGCTTTGCACAGCTTGAAAGCAATGACAGCATGTCGTTGTCGATCAGTTAGCAAGGAAGCGAGTAACATCTCCGCTCTTGAGAAGGATATCCTGAACTCAAACCTTTCAGTGCTGCTCCCGTGAGCACCCACCGGCACCAGGTGTAGGCCGAACTGTCTGATATTGTCCCTGACGGCTTCTGGTGGCCAGTTGTGGCGGCGGTGACGGGTAAAAAACTCGTCAGAGATGAACCACACTGCGACGTGCAGACATGGCACTCTGTCATAGTCGGTGGTCGCCATATTGTACGACAGATAAGATGAATGGGTTAGGGCAGGCCCGCTGACACCTTTTGTTGTGGCGTTTGGTGCTAGCCCTACGTTTTGGTGTTCCTTGAAAAAATTTGTCACGTCCTCAGCTTTGAAGATGACCCTCTCCTGGTGAGGACAGTCGTCTTTACGCTCCTGCAACAGCAGCACG